CAGTTCTTCCTGGATGGATGGCAGACTGGCCTATTGGAAACAAGAACACTCTGATCCAGCATATGTCAGAATTTGGGAAAAAGAAGCTTGGCACAGTGGCTCACGCCTGTAATTCCAGCACTTTGGGAGGCTGTAGTGGGCAGATCACTTGAGGTCAGGAGTTCAGGACGAGCCTGACCAACATGGTGAAACCCCATCTCTACTAAAAATGCAAAAATTAGCTGGGTATGGTGGCATGTGCCTGGAATCCCAGCTACTCGGGAGGCGGAGGCAGGAGAATCACTTGAACCTGGGAGGCACAGGTTGCGAGGACCCAAGATTGCACCATATACTGGGTGGACAGAGCAAAACTCTGTCTCAAAACAAAACAAAACAACAACAACAAATTTGGGAAAAACAATTGGGCTTTCTAGGTTTTAGGGACCTGAGACAAGCTCAAGGCATCTTTCCAAGAAGGAACTCCGCATATCAAATCTACAAAGACCACATTCCAATTATATACTTTAGAAACTCTTCTCTGAATTTCCTTTAGCAAATGATTATTTTACTTATTATTTTGAAAATGTTGTAGAATCACCCGGAGAAGGGCAGAAAAGTAAGGGAAGAAAGGTGAATGAGGAAGATTTCTAAAGTCCTAATTCTACAACTAAAGCATTAGTCAATTAAGGAAGCCCTTGATATTCTCTCAGAACTTTCAGTGACTTGCCTCCCACAGACTTTGAGGAAGAGGGTTAGCATGCCTGTAATCCAGCTACATTGGGAGGCTGAGGCAGGAGAATTGCTTGAACCTGGGAGGTGGAGGTTGCAAGTGAGCAAGATTGGGCCAGCACTCCCAGCCTGGCGCAACAAGAGCAAAACTCCGTTTCAAAAAAAAAAAAAATAGTAAATAGGCGAGACTTGTGGCTCACACCTGTAGTCCCAGAACTTTGGAGCCGCAGGTGGGCAATCACAGACACAAGGTCAGGAGTTTGAGGACCCAGCCTGGCCAACATGGTGAAACAGGCTGACTACTAAAAATACAAAAATTAGCCAGGCATGGTAGCATGCCTCCATAATTTCAGCATTCAGGAGGCTGAGGCATGAAATCCCTTGAACCCAGGAGGTGGAGGCTTGCAGTGTGCCAAGATTGCACCGCTGCACTCTAGTTTAGCTTGGGTGACTGGAGTGAGACTCTATGGCAAGAAAAAAAAAAAAAGAGGCACATAATATGGGCTAAGGCAAAAGAAAACTATTTTCAGGGTAGACGAAGAAGTGGCTTAGCTTTTAGCACAAGTGCCTAAGACCATAGAAAGCCATTGTATTATGTTGGATGAGCAGATGCTTATTGTCAATGGTTTTAGTTCAATTCTCATCTTCATTTATTTTATTTTATTGTTTTTTGGTTTTACTTTTTATTTTTTTTGAGACGGAGCTGCTCGCCTGTCCTCCTAAGCGCTTGAGCTGCAGTGGCGCATCTCAGCTCACGCAAAGCTCGGCCTCCCAGGGTTCACACCATTCTCACTGCCTCAGCCTGCGGACAGCTGGGACTACAGGCACCCGCCACCGAAGCCTCAGGGGTTAATTTCTGTTTG